AGGTCTCTAAATTTTATATAGTTTTCATTAAAGATAAGGATTAAGGGAGGGTAAATCGCCCCTCAGAATATGATTATATTCATTTTTCTTATTAGAATAATGTCTAAATTGTCTATATGGCTGAGGTATGGATATCAGGATATCAAGATATAATTGCTGGCTGGCATGATTTTTTAAAAAGCTATATTAAAAGGTTTACATTAATTTCTAATTTACTGTTCATTTATGGATGACCTGTTTGGCTGTGTTTTGCTATGTCCTCAAATGGCCTTTCTTATATTCATTCTTGATAGAAAGAAGAGAACAGAAAGCACAATGTATATTACTCATAATAGCAATTTGCCCACCTCACAAACCACAGTTATGTCCACTTGGACTCCTTGGTAAGATTCTGAAAAAGAGTGGCCACATCTGTGCTATCTCAGAGAAAATTCCTGCTCTGTGACATTGAAGTCTGTTGGGTACCTGTACTGATCCAAATATTAAATGCATTGATGACCTCTTTTGAAATACAGTAACAATTGTGAGCAAACAGATTTTGGACTCTTAGCATTATGTATTTGGTTGAAAGAAGATCAAACGGAACTTTAGAAGAATTGCAAACATAAGAAATGACAGGGAACAAATGATTTAAAGGGTCTCTGTGGCAGGAAATTTTCCTTTTTTATACGGTCCTCTGGCTATGTTCACACTAGAGTAATCAAGTAGACAATTGCCCTAAGGATATAAGTATCCATGCAAATGTTTTGAATGAAAGATATCAACTTTCCCCACTGATATTGCCATGGCAATATCTAGGTTCACAACTCAAGCAAAAAGCAGGAAAAAAAATGAGAACATGTCTACTAGAAATGTTCACTTTATTTTCTTATAATTCAAGTTCCCTGCCTGTAAAATTGTATCGCAATGCAGTTATCCCTCTAACTTGGTGGTTTTAAAATGCGGTGATTTCCACATGGATTGAAGCATTTAATAAAATGCCATGGACCCTATACCTGTCAAAATGTCCGTATAAACATATGCACATACTATCTGAAACCCATCGTGGACTCTGATGGTCAGAATCTCAGCCTTGTGGAAATAAAATTGGAAGTATCTCAGAGATACAATATTTTCCTGACATAAATTAAGGCACACCTGTACACTAAAATTTTGTAGATGGAGGGGATTGCTTTCCCATCACATCCCAGGGTTAGGTTTCCTCGGTAGCCATAGTGAAGGATACCCTTGCCACCTGCTTCTGGAACAATTGTTACACTCAAGTTTGAAGTAACACAGAAAAGCACATGGAGAAGAGGGTCATAGGTGAGGGATAGGTAAAGCTGTAATTGATATTCACTTGACATAAGAGCAAAGATGCCCACTCCTAAAATTTCCAATCAACAAGTGATAATCCAGAGCCTTAGATGAATAATATGGGAAGAACTGAATTCATCTGAAGACAGGTGTTACAAAAATTAAGGATATGGCCAGGCGTGGTAGATCATGCCTGTAATCCTAACACTCTGGGAGGCCGAGGCGGGAGGATTGCTCGAGCTCAGGAGTTCGAGACCAGTCTGAGCAAGAGTGAGATCCCATCTCTACTAAGAATTAGAAAGAAAGAAATTGGCCAAACAACTAAATACAGAAAAAATTAGCCAGGCATGGTGGCACGTGCCTGTAGTCCCAGCTACCCAGAGGCTGAGGCAGGAGGATCGCTTGAGCCCAGGAGTTTGAGGTTGCTGTGAGCTAGGATGATGCCATGGCACTCTAGCCCAGGCAAGAGAGTGAGACTCTGTATCAAAAAAAAAAGAAAAAAATTAAGGATATTATGGCAATTTTCTATCATCCTTAATGATTCCTTTCATTTAATAGTTTGAAGACAATATTAAGAATGATTTTTCTGGTTTAACACAACAGATCCTCTAGAATTCTTTTGGTCATTATTTACTTTTTAAAGATATTGATGAATTTTGCACAAAAACAAATGAATACACACACATACACACACACACAGACACTCACACCTGCACATTTCCCAGTAAACAGTAGAAGGCTATTTTTTGGTATTTTTACATTTGAAATTAATTTTGTCCTTTGCTGCCATTTTTAATTAATCCTTTGGTACTAGAGGATTTTGCCACTTTAAATAAAAGCACTGTAAACCTTGGTTTACCTCACTGTTGGAAACATTAATGAAATTAATTTCCATTTAAAAAGAAATGATCTCTAACGACAATCTCTAATAATCCCATTCTTGCAGATTCTGTAGATTCACTCTATCTCTCATCATGATTTCAGGAAAACACTTTTCCCAGAGCTAACCTGTTTACATCCAGAGCAGGTATACAGTTATGTAAGCTTTAAGTACTAATATCAAAGAGACACACTGTTAAAAGGAAGAAGTATCAAATCTACCCAACAGGGCATCAAGGTGAATTATTGAAAGACAGAATAACATGGCAGTCTATTGTACTGACCCCAAGAGACTCTTGGGTTGAAATCTCAGTTCTATCTCATGCTGGTTGTGTTACCTAGCCAAAGTAAATGACTTCTCTGTGTCTCGGTTTCAATCTCAGTAAAAGGAGAATAATAACAACACCTATGTCATAAAGTTGGTGCAGGTTTATATATAAAGCACTTAAGATATTATCTGATTCAAGTGCTATCTATATAAGTTAGTAACTACGTGTGTGTGCATGTGTATGTGCAAACTTATAGTACTCTTATTAAGCCACTGTCTTTGTTTATGTTAACCTATATTCCCCATATATTCACTAGAAATAGTCACAATATAGTATTTATTTTCATCAATTATGTGGATTGTTGGTAAAATATCATGAATTAACTCAAATATTATACTTTTATCCAAATGCTAATTCACAGATAAACTACAAATACAACTAAAAATAACTACATTTTGGCCATACGTGGTGGCTCACACCTGTAAACCTAGCACTCTGGGAGGCTGGGGCTGGAGTATAGCTTGAAGTCAGGAGTTCAAGACCAACCTGAGCAAGAGCGAGACCTGTAATCTGCTAAAAAAATAAATAAATAAAATCTACCTTTAAATAAGAACAGAAAACAAGAGAGCAGGACTTCTCACAATCATCTCATAAATAGAATATAAACTGCTAAAAAAATAAATAAATAAGATACCTAGGAATAAACTTAACCAAGGAGGCAAAAGATCTCTAGAGTGAAACTATAGAACACTGATGAAAGAAATTAAAAGAGAGACAAATAAATGGAAATATATCCTGTGTTCATGGATTGGAAGAATTGATATTGTTAAAATGGCCATACTACCCAAAGTGATCTACAGCTTTAATGCAATCCCTATCAAAATACAAATGACATTCTTCACATC